CTTTCTTGAGGAAAAACTTGATCTCGATTGGAGCTTTGGTTGGAGAGGGTCTGAATGTTCGAATTGAGGACATGGTTCTCAAGATTGTGGAAGACTCTCAGATTATGATGAAGGGCGTCAGGAGAAATAACCTATATTACTTGACTGGAGGTGTAGTAGCATGTGGAGAAGTGACGACTTCTATTGATTTGACTAGACTATGATATTTGGGGCTTGGCCATTCTAGTATTGATTCCTTGCATAGATTGAAAGAGGGTGCGAAGAACTGCAGTTTGAAATCTAGTAAACATGTTGATGTGAGCAAGAAAACCGAGGTGAAGTTTAGCACCTCTATTCATCGTGCGAAGGGTCGTTCTGGAGGTATTCACGTGGATGTTTGGGGGCCTTCCAATGGGGCATCATTGGGAAGTAATAGATGTTTGGTTTCTTTTGTTGGTGACTGTTCTAGGCGTGTTTGGGTTGCAACTAAATCCCCATTGGAAAAAGTCCTAGTAATCTCTAACAGATTGAAGAAGTATAAGATGAATAGAAAGGTGAAGGTACTTCATTCAGGTTTTGGTAGGAGGTATAAGATGGACATGTTTCTGTATTGGAACCGAGCTCACAGTATTTCGAGACACTTTGTTGGAAAGAAAATCTTGGGGCAACTAGATAGGATGACAAATTTAGAGAGCCGTGCCTTGCTGGAGGAGGATCGGTATTTGTTGTCAAGCAATAGTCTGCAGAAGAGTTTATGGACTGAGGCTTCGACATATTCGGGTCATTCTATTAAAGAGTTGTCAACTGCTGTGATAGGAGGTAAAACTCAATTGGGTGCTTGGTCTGATAGTGTCACTTCGGTTGAGGCTTTGATGAGGGAGCTAATTAACTCTCAACATATAGAGAGTTTTGGACAGATCATAGAGGTATCACAGCAGGTGGAGAGTGATGCTACTTCACATTGGGTAAAGATTACTCCATATTCTTTAGATCATACTGCATCATTTGGGATTCCAGCTGAGGTGATACAGCTTGGAGATCATTTGTTTTTGGATGCAGATGATAAGTTGGATTTTGATTCAAGTACAACTGATAGATGCAGTTTGGATATGACCATTGGTTTACCTCAAGTGAAGGAGTTTGAGGCCATTGGAGGTGCTATCAGCCGCAGAGTTGATGATATTGGAGAAGGGTTGTGAACTCTTCTATTTGATTGAGGTCGTTCGCGAACATTTGGGTGAACTACGTGAAGGCTTGATTCCTTGGGCAAGAGGATACGTAAGCAGTCTTTATGATGCAGCCGATTTGTGAGTTGATACCGATATTTGGAGAGTGTTTGCATTCTCATTTGGGTTCTCGACTTATTGTGGATTGAGTCCGTTATCGTGATTTGTTTCACTTCGTACTGGACGCAATAAGTGAGACATTTGGTTTGGTTGGTGTCGGCTTAATTTTGGGAAAACTTCACCAATGTGAAGAATTATTGATTGATGGAATCACGTGGGGGACAAGAGCCAGAGGATTTTAGCTAACCGCGTAAGAGGCTAGCTAAGAGCCAGCAGTTTGAATTTTTTGGTTTCTTGGACTTCGGGACTTCGGGTTCTGGCCCACCCGAAGACACAACAGATATAAATATCACATAGGGTTTTGTGAATAGTTAGCTTGGTGAAAAAGAGGGGGCACAGCAGAGGTGCAAGCAGGTGCGGAGAAAGAGAATTGCAGCGCAAGTAGAGGTGCAAGTTAGCGTTCTTTTTAGGCGGCTACAAAGAAAAAGTCAGAGGCTTTCTTTGGCTTCATGCAAACAGTCCTTTTGTGCTTTTGAGAAAGATATTTGTGTTAGGGGTTTGAGAGATTGTGTGAGGGTTTAGATTGAGTGATTGTAAACCCTAGTTATATTCTCTCCCCTCTAATTGTAGATCCCCCTACTTGCCCCGTGGACGTAGGCAATTTGTCGAACCACGTAAAACTTATGTGATTTGTTATTTGTGGTCATTGTAATAGTTTATTAGGTTCCCTCGACAGGCCAATCCTAGAATTGATGAGAGGAAGAGCTGATATCTCACTTTATTGAGATATTCGTTTCAGATTCTTGTTTTCTTGGTGAGATAGGAATTCTTATTGATCTTTCTCTCTTATTGTGCACCAGAAACTCTGTCGAAATTTTCGCTGCGCACAACAACCTTCTCCTTAGCAATCTCTATCTTAAATGCCTTCGGTTCTATAATTGACATAATTGATGAAGTCTTTATTGGTGCTTCCTCGGTGCTCTTAATTTTTCCATAATCATAACTAGTTTGATAATTCTCTAAAAACATCCATGATAAAGGGCATATATCGTTCTGCTCAAGTTCTCGCTCTACCTTCTTCGCTAGACGAACCGTAGCGGCTAAGGTAAAAGAATCTTTTAAAGACACCTGACATTTCTTGTAGTTAGAAGGTAAGAAACAGTCTCTCAATAATTTCTTCATCTTTGCCCACGTTCGAACCGGATCCTTCCCTTGATGGCATCGATTTATTAGTACTTCATCCCACCATGCAAATACTTTTTCTTTAAGTCTGTAGACCACTAATTTAACTTTCCAATCTTCTAGGATTATTTTATACTCAAAATACTTATCCACTTTATCAATCCAATCAAGGAAATTATCAGCATGAAGCTTTCCATTAAAGGATGGTATTTTTAATATTCTAGTGCCATAATTGTCCTATCTTTGGTAGTCTTTGTGATCATAACCGCGACATGAGGCTTCATAGTTATCACTATTGAATTCATCATGTGGAGTCAGATTACACCATTGGTGATCATCAACGCGATTTCAAACTCCTCCCGTGTTCACACGCTCCACTATCGACGCAAGTCGTGATAGTCTTCATCTGATTAACATTGATCTTCAGCACGTCAAACTCAGTTCGAGAAAAGGGGCTTCATCACCTGCCATCGGATCGGAGGAACAAAGCTCTGATACCAATTGACGCAGCGTGGAAGTGACAACCTCGGAATCCACTAAGGGTGTTATCTGAATCTACAAAGAACGATCTCCGAATTCATGAAGAACTTCGAATCCAAGAAGAAAATATTAAAAGAGTAATTTTATTGACGAAAAGATATTATTCTTTGGGGTTACAAGACTCCTACTAAGACTAGAATTACAAAGAAATAGAAAGTATTAAATTCTATCCTAAAAAGACTCCTTATAGTAGAGGAAACAAATTATGAATCAAAATTAAATTTGTTTTCTAATCTAATTTGACTCTAATTTATTTCCTAATCTAAATAGACTCCAACTTTATTACTAAAAATAAACTAAAAGCTGATTATTTTTTAATTTCAGCTAAAAATGGGTATTAGTGATGAGATTTTAAAAATCTGATAATCTGGTTGGCTCCGTCTCGTTAAGATAGGTGATTTACATATATAATATGTTAGAATTCGCCTTCCGGATTAAAAAATATGATTGTTTTTTACGAAAATCAATAATACGTGTAGCTCGTAATTCTCCGAATCCTCCACGAAATTGCCAGTTAAGCGTCCTACATCACATGGTTTAGATAATATGAACATTTTCTAGATTCTCCATCATATATATGCATATTATTCATTCTAACACTCAATCTCCCATTGAACAAGCAAATAACGGGTATTCCATTCGTCATCAATACTGAAATATCAACATTCATCATATACAAATTATCTATATTATTTATAAATTAAATTTTATATATCTTGTTTCTAGTTAAACGTAGTTGAAAGACCCTCTAAATCGAATGTACTCTATCAAATTTTAACCAAACCATATTGTTTATCAAAATTGAAATAAAAATATTCTAAATATAGGGTTATTTTTATACTACAATTGTAACTAAAAAATTATACAAAATTAGAAAATTTTACCTTGATGAAAGAGTTAAAGTTCATCGGCGTCAGAGAAGTTAGACGGTGTCGGAGTTTGACATGGAGTGAATCAAAAGAAAATTTTTATGAAAGAGTCTTGATTAGGGTTTGGAGAGAAGGAGAGAGAAAATTTAGGGAGAAAGAGGTGATGTGGGATAGGATGAATGAGGTAGGGGACAAATTTTTTTTCAAGAGAGAGTTGAGGGAGAGAATGAGAGGGATTTGAGGGAGAGAACGAGGAGAGAGATTGCAAGTTTTGTGAGAGTGTGGCTATGCCCTAATTTTGGGGCACGGCTGGGCTTATATACCCCCACAAATACACGGGACTACTAGTCCCGTGTATATGTTGGGGTGCATAAGCCCAGTGCTAATCTCTATGTGTACACATGAGATAGTCCCATGTGTTTTCGGAGCCAAGCGGTGTAGTCACTATTTAGCACAAGTGACTACTAGTCCCGTGTATTTTCTGCGCCATATTTAGGGTTGATTAGCCAGCGTTAATCACATTGGACTAGTAGTCTCGTGTGTTTTTAAGACCATATTTTGCAAAGTCAATCTCTTTTTGGCTAGTCTTGATGAACTGTCAAAAAGGGGTCGATTTTGCTAATTATTTAACAAAAATATTATTTATACGAATTATTTTTTTTAAAAAGGTATTTTTTTAAAAATTCTCCTTTTCGAAATGAGATGTTTGAGATTGGAGTGGCAGACTTTAAAAAAAGCACAGCTTTATCCCACCTTCAAATACCTCTTCCCTAATTGGACAAATTAAATATCATCATCTCCATTACACAGTTTTAATACCCCCACTTCCCCGTCCCAAAAAGGTTTTTTTACCCACTCGGCTAAAGCTAACACAACTGCCCTGATTTAACACTACATTTTATTATAATATCCAACATTATTATCCTTCTTTATACTTATTTCATTATTATTATATTATTATATATAATAATAATTAATGGAAAGCAAAAGGCATTACCTAATTCTCTCTCTGTGTGGTGGCATAACATAAAGGCGGTTATACACAGGCGCCAATATTCGTTACAAAAATTCCCTTAAAAAAAAACCTTTATATTTGCGAGCGCAGACTCCTAAAGACTCCCCCTCTTCTTTCTGTTTCTTGAGAATTGAGCTTTGAAATGGAAAACCCATCTCGGACCGAGCCTTTTCCGGTGGGCCTTAGGGTTTTAGTGGTGGATGATGATCCTACTTGGCTCAAAATCCTCGAGAAGATGCTTAGAAAGTGCTCCTATGATGGTAGTTTTCTTTAACCTCTGATGGGTTTTTGTTAGTTTTTTTTTTTAATTTGATTTAATGTTTTCTTTTCTTTTCAGGATTGTGTTTGTTGTGCTAGCTGCAAGTGTTTGTTTTATGCTTGAATTAGTTTGTGAATTGTTTTGGAGTTTTGCTGAACTGGGTTGTGTCTGATTTGTGTGCTAATAACGGTAGGATTGTGGTTTTTTAACCGTAGTTTGTGTTTATTGCCTTAGGAGTTCATTGAGTCACGATATCGTTCGTACCAGTTCAAACACAACATATATTGAATTGTAAGAGATGCGATAAGCAGTGATATCGGTTGACTAGATTCATATTGCAACACAAAAACTTCATTTCCTCAGGTTATTGGATTGCAGTAGAAAACTTTTGGATCTAGGCAAGTGGCTAATTAGTGTAATACGATCGAGCAAGTGATGTCATTATTGGTTGCCACTTTTCGGTTTAAGAATATGAACATGGCAACATGACGTCCATTTTTTGACTGGATGTTTAATTTTATAGTTTGTTTCTTACTTGTTTTTATGAACAATGTACTAATTAACCAATAAGCTAATTTTTTGAGGAACAAGATCAATTTTTTTTTTCGGAAATAAACTTTTTCCAAAAGCTTAAGATGAGGGTTTGTGGACTAACTATGTATATAGTAAGCAAACTTACTGCTTAAAGACCCCTAAAAATAATGTCATAACCTAAAACACATGTCAAGCAAACTTCACAGCATGCAAGAAAACTGACCCTTGATGCTTGGAAAGGTTGCATATATACACGAGACTAATCAAACATACTTTAGATTGCCGATGGTGAGTTTGAACCCATGGACTACTTGAAACTTGTCGGACACCATGTAACAATACCGCTTAGGCAAAAGTTAAGGGTATGTGACAAATTATGACGTAACAGTGTATGTCGAAGGAATTTAACAAATCACAGTACTCCAAAGAGGGCACCAACTACAGAAAGCACTAAGTGGCATAAGTAGTAGTAATATGTTTTCAAGACTGGATATTTATTCATTTTCAATAAGCGCAAGTTCGTTAGAAAGCACATAGTGTCTCATTCCGAGCCCAACGGAACAGAAGGTTTTATGTTGATTTTAGTAGAGCATGAGCTAGCGTTTTTCTGCTCCTCCTTTACAGTGCAGTGCGGTTTGGTGCAGTTTGTGTAAAACAGAAGGATGATCGCGTTTTTGCTTCATCATTCTGCTAGTCATATATGAGAAAATTTATTATCATAATTTTGAAAAAAGGTTGTTTTCATGACATTAACCTAAGACTTCTTGCAATCCAATCTTGGTTTAAAATCTCACAGAATATCTGAGGTACGAAAAAGGATGTAGTAAAATTACTGTTCTTAAAGACATTGCATGATGTAATTATACATTTACAGGATATCAAAGATAGCTATATATTCATGTATTTTCCTTGGAATATTTATACCACCCACCCACCCACCAAAGAAAAAGACTACCGCTGTGAGAATAAAAGAGAAAAGATGGACGCAAGCATATAGACAAAAGGAAAAAAGAAACAAAAACCACTCCTACCTACCCCCATTGCTCCTCTATGAAAATTTCCCATGTAATATTCGTGTAGTTCTATTTCTATTGGGATTTAATATTCCCTAGATTAAACCCTCGGTAAATCTGGAATTTCTTCCACTGTCTTTTTGGGTTGCTAGTGTAACTTGCATTATATGCATAACTGTCATCTTACCTGTTTTGCTTCTTAATGCAGTTACAACATGTGGCTTAGCAACAGTTGCGCTGAGCTTGCTTCGTGAAAGAAGAGAGAAATTTGACATTGTAATTAGCGATGTCAACATGCCCGACATGGATGGTTTCAAGCTTCTTGAACAAGTTGGACTTGAGATGGATCTTCCAGTCATAAGTTAGTTATCTGCATGAAAAGTGTACCTTTTTTTTGTGGATTATGCAATACAATTAAGGGGGTGAAAAAAACTCTAACACTTGATTCTACTATTTAAATCTTTGCAGTGATGTCAGTAGACGGGGAAACAAGTAGGGTAATGAAAGGCGTGCAGCATGGTGCGTGTGATTACCTACTTAAGCCCATAAGAATGAAAGAGCTAAGAAACATATGGCAACATGTTTATAGAAAGAAAATACATGAGGTGAGAGAGATTGAGGGCCATGATATCAGTGAAGATATGCTACAATTTAGAAATTGTTCCGAGGACTTTGATGATAGACAATCATCGGGTGGAGCTGATCTCAGCTCTGTAAGGAAGCGAAAAGATTTAGACACTTCGGATCAAGAAGTTAATGATTCTGCAGCAGTGAAGAAAGCTAGAGTTGTTTGGTCTGTGGACCTTCATCAAAAATTTGTTAATGCTGTAAACCAGATTGGATTCGATAGTAAGTTTCCCTTCTCTCGGATTACTTCTTTTTCTATCTTGAATTGCTGAAATATTTACTTGGTTTTTTAATACATAAATGATTGATTTATGATGACCCCCACTCACAGAAGTTGGTCCTAAAAAGATTCTGGACTTGATGAATGTTCGTGGCTTAACAAGAGAAAATGTTGCCAGTCATCTACAGGTAAAATAAGTTTCTTATATACTTCTTTGCATCCCAGTAATCACTTTCTGGTGGATAGAATGTGGTCTTTTCTACTTAGTTAAAAATAAATTTCTCTGAGGCTTTTGGCTGTTTCAGTTTTCTGTCATTACACTGGATATGGTATGCGTCAGAACTCTGAAGATAAAACCAGGCTTCATTATATATTGTTACTTGTCATCACTATTCACTTATGATGGTATACTTACAAGAACCAATTTCCAGATTAGCTTTATTCTCAAACTTAATGAGCACTAAAAATAACAATTTTTTTTTCTGCAAATTAAAAGGTAAGTAACCCAACTCTTTGTGCTGTCTATGCTTGGTTCTCTAATGTTCTGCACTAAATATTTTTCATTCTCTTTCGTCTTACTACTTTCTTTTCAACAATAAACTCACTTTTTCCCCCTGAATATAAGATCCGTACAGAGAATATTCTCTATGTTGCTTCTAGCATTATAGCTATTTAAAATTTGGTCTTTTATGATTCTGTTCATACTTCCAGTAAAGAGCGACAGGTTATTAGTCCAATGGATATACTTAAAAGTCAAGAGGTAAGAAAATTATGCATTGTGGAAGGTTCTGAAAATTAATTTCAGAACACTTTATATTTGAGTTTCCAATTGGGATGCTCAGAGTAACCTCAATGTGGGATATGCATTTATATTCCGCTTAGAAACTTGTAGGACAGTCATTTAGACAATTTTAGGGCACTGCATTTTTACCACCAGGACACTTTTCTTGTTGCTTATGTGGGGACTTAATCCGCATGCCGAGGGAGCAACACATTAACTGATGTTACATGCTTGGTAACCTTTATTTGATAAATAGATAAATAAATAAAAAGTTTGTCAATAACAATTAGACAAATTAGTTACCATTTTACAGAAAGAAACTTCTAAAAAATAACAATATTGATTATGTGTAAAGATAAGGGAAAAGTGTTTATTTATATTGATTGCAGGGCTAGAGAGTTCATGTAAAATAACTGTTGAGTGAAGTGCCACATTTCCCTAATTTTTTGAGGTTTGTGTAAGCCATACTTGAGAAGTTGTTATTTTCTTGTCTTCTGTGTCTCTTTCTGGAAACCATGTATCGAATACTAAGGGGTTAAAAGATGTTTGTGTGGAAGAACCAGTGCACAGATGTGCACGAGCATGTACGCACGAACGCACAGACGTGGAATCTAAGATCATATACAGACATTTTCTGTGTGGGTTATCCCAATTGAGGGATGACACTGTCAATTATGGACATATTTTAGGGTAAACCCCAAAATTGAAATTCTTCTTATCTTTGATCAGCGGGTACAAAGTCAATGCATCCCTTTTATGACATTTATGAGATCAACCATATAAGAAGCATGCACATTAACAAGTGCGAATATATGCAATAAACATAGAGGAATGAAGAAGTTCATCAAATACACATGGAAGAGAAAGGGAGTGTTAGTGATAAGATAGGAAATAAAATATATTGAGCCCTAAACCAATATCTGCAGACTCAAACCATGGATTGACAAATAATCAATACTAGTGAAGAGATTGGTTTCTTTCTCTTAGTAGGTAGCCAGTAGGGAAGGCGGTTCTTAAAAGAAGCCAGGGGGGAAAGTGGTGCGTCTTTAAAAGAACTTTAATTCTAGCGAAAGAGAGATTTTGTTTAAAAGACGTTTGTGAAATTTAGGTGCAAGACATGCTGTGCCATCAAGTTCATCTAGAGGCAGAAATGGGATCTCTACTGTATTGGATACCATGTCTGGGAATAAACTAATATTGAAGGAAACCTTAAAAACGCTGAATTGATAGGCGAAGATTCGGCATATTGTCACATTATATAAGCAAGTGCAATCTTGGTTTCCCTGGATAAACCATAATTGAAACTAATTAAGTAGGTGGTCAACCAGGAGGAAAAATGAAACAAGCTTAGCAAGCCTGGGGAAGGGGTTGGATATGCCTGAGGCCATACTTTCAGGTTCTAGAAGGAAAAAGATATTCAGTGATGAAAGTATAGGTGATCCATAGAAAGCCTGGATGAGTACACCGCAATTGATTTTTTTTTTTTTTGAAGTTCACTTCGTTTATTGCCAGATTCCTCTAGGCTGCCACTAAACGAAAAAGAGATGATAACGGGACACAGAACGTGATATCCGTTGCTCATATGCTGAAATTTCCGTAGAATTTCCGTAGAATACAGCGCAAGTAAGTGAACCGAAGTATCAGAAGCAAAATTATGGATCCCTTAGAGAGCTTCATTTACTGTTTTATGATTGAGGCTACAGCTGGTTCCCTGCCAGAGCATATCAATGAGATGAGCAGTAGCAATGCGCCTCGGAAGAATATTTACATGGGTCCAGAAAGTTAGTGGATATGAGGCAGCTGCAATCGATTAGTGGGGCTGACTTCTGCAATAAATGTGCAAGTTTGGAGCAAGTAAAAGGCCCACATGTATTACCTTCCGAAGGTGAGGTGGATAGTGACATGCAGGATTTCTTCGGTAAATACTCATATAAAAATAGCATATCTACCTGATCACCTACTAAGAAATTATAAAATCTTCATTATTTTCAGTTGCCTTGAACTGTCCATGCATTGTTTTCCCAACTGTTAATGCAATGATGTACCTGATATAGGTAGTTTAGACTTCTGTTTTTTTGCTGCATTACTAGGCATAACCGAGTTTCTGTTTTAAATTTACTTATTTATAGAATCTTATCACATCTAATTCCAATTTCAATCTACAGAAATATCGTCTGTACTTAAGTAGATTACAGAAGCAGCATGAAGGGAAAAATTGTGGGGCAAACATGCAATCGGACTTCAGCCCCAAGGCTCCTCAGGCAAACTTCGGCCTTCAGAACTCAACTCCAGTGAATCAAGCTAATACTGCTGGCGGCTATGTCCCTGTTGGGATACATCCAACAGTCCCCATTACCCAAAAATTCCAAGCTCAGAATAGAACTCCTGTTCATGTCGATAACGAAAAGAGCACAGTGGCCTTGCATATAAAAGATCAAAAGGAAGCAGCACGGCCCGATATTTCAAATAGCAGAAAGTTAAACAGTACTCCATTAGGTGGTGTTCTCTCATTCAAAAGCACGGCTACAAATGTTGAATACAAGCCGGTTGAACCTTCAACGTCAAAGCATCAAAATTTGACTGGAGGCATTCCTATATCTCAATTCATGCAATATCCAAAACATGACCATGAGCCATACAGTTTGTTGGAGGACTACTCACATCTTCCACTAAGTAGTCAATTACATCAGACTCAAAGAGAGCCCACCTTCACCGATTACAAAAGCCACAACAATAAAACCATTATGCCAGTAACATGCACGATCGACTCTGTTTCAGTTCAAGTCGAGCGTGGAATTGTAAATCCTCAAGAAGTTAATAGATCGGGAAGTTGGCTACCTCCAATAAGAGAACCGAGTATGAAGACTGACACAGATTTGATTTCTTTGCCTCAGGATATGCCCCTTTGCTCTCTTCAGAACATCAGCTGCTTTGAAAATGTTGGGCTCAACAGCATGGATATTTTTCAGTATGATGATTCTATGTCGCTGACTGAATTTCAGAGTAATTGGTATGAAGGATTAGAGTTTAACACTGATTATTTGTATGAGCCATTGGAGTACCCAATCATAGACGATTGCCTTTTTGCATAAAAAAAATCCTCATCCCAATATGGACTGGGATTTTTGTCCCGCTACCTGTTTTCAGGTATGAATATAAACTATAGTTAGATGTCATATTGTATACCTGGAATTTATGTGGAGATAATAAGTATGCAATGTGGTCGTTAAGCATTTAGAACTGGCCTCCCTCAAATGTAAATAATGGAGTTTCTGGTTTTCGTCTTTGTGTCAATTGTTTTCATATCCTCTAATGATGTGAGCTTGTAGTTATGCAAGCCTTTTGGCACTATGCTGCTATCTATCCACATAACTGTGAACGTGAGGGCCATGTGGGTCACTACATTAATGAAGCGGACATGTGTATGAAGCGGAGCAAAGAAAAGAAACGTGGGGGCCACCACATGAATGAAGTGGAGAGAGCAGGACGCGGTTTCTTTCCGCGTGATGAAGCCGGCCCACCCGTTTGTCCAAAGTATAAATACCTGAACCTAGGTTTTCGTGCGGTGTGCAGGAGGTTTTTGGCTTTTTTTTTAAGAGCGGCTGCGGAATAGAAAAGCAGGAGATTGTTTTGTGGCGGCTGTGGAAAAATTCGCAGCAGGAGAAAAATCGGTTTTGGGTATTTTTCAGCAGCAGTTTTTTTTGGTGCAGTCCTTTTGTGCAGCCTTTTGTAGAGAGTTTGTGAGGGATTTGAGAGAGTTTGTTTGAGGGTTTAGATTGTGAGTGATTGTAAACCCTAGTTGTATTCTCTCCCTCTATTAGTAGATCTCCCCCCTCCTTGCCCCGTGGACGTAGGCAATTTGCCGAACCACGTTAAAATTGGTTGTACTGCTTTTGTGTGATTTGTAATAGCTTTTAGGGTCCCTCGACGCGCAGTCCTAGAGCTGACGAGAGGAAGAGCTAATATCCTACTTTGATAGGATATAGGCTTCAGATTCTTGTTCCCTTTGAGAAACAAGAATTCTTATTGCGACCTGACTCTCTTGTTGTGCTGCCAAAGTGCTGCCGAAATTTCCGCTGTGCGCAACGGTATTACTATTAGAAGGACTATTGGAAGGACAAATATGTTATGAGAACAATTTAAAAAAACAACAAAGTGGTTTGAGTCTAGTCTACCTACCATTCTCTTTTTCATTAAGGATGTAATTAAAGTTGTTATATGAACTATATAAATGGGAGCTATATATCAATGTAGTCATCTACTTATTTGAGACGTGTAAAGCTCATTGCCTTGTAGAAAAGTGAGAGACAGAAAAAATCACGTCAAAGGTGCAGCCTACAAATTTTGAACTCTTTGAAAAAAGGCCATACTCATGCCTTTGAACACCCACGATCTAGAATGTGAATTTTGTTGAAGTGGTTTAAAAAAAGGAGTGGAAAGGTAGCAAACATGATGTTTAGGGATGTACATGGGTGCTAACAATGTGATCCCAATCTGTTTTTATTTTAAGATATTCTTACATAGTTAATAGTGTTAAAATATAATTAGGATGCAACAAGTCCAATATCAATCGTTTCTTTTGTTAAGATGTAGTCCTTACCATATCTCTGGTTTGAGTAATAACAAACTCTCATTTGGTAGTAATATTAATTGAGATGATATAGTACAGGTAAATACAGGTATAAAAGTGTACGAGGTGAAACAACGTGAAAACAAGTTCAAAAGTAAATTTCAGCATTTCTACCGTCTATGGTAGGCATTGACCATCAATGGTAAGAAGAGCTCATTGATGGTCAAAATACATCATTGATGATTTTTTTACTTCAGAGACTTTTATATCATTGATGAGCTTCTCAACCATTGATGGGGCCTCGACACTGTCGATGGTTGAGAGCCATCATAGATGGCAAACATGTTAGCTATAGATTTTTCATATTTAATCTCAACTGTTCATTGTTTATATATTCTCTAACTTCTATCACGTTTGGGATATCTCTTTCCTGTCCTATTGGAAATTTTATATCATTGAAAGAGAGGGAAGAATTCTATGGTTTTGATTTGTGAGAGATTATGTTGAAGAGTTTTACCATTGAAGCATCGTCAAGTTCTCACTCGTCACGCACAACATCTTCATATCTTTTCAACAAGGAAATTTGCTGTTAGATTGATCTTCTTTACTGTTCCTCATCGAGCTACGCTTATATTTTTGAAGGACAGTTTGTTTAACAAAAGGACTATAAGATATTTCTTATATGCTAAGCTTTAATTATTGTTTTTGGTTTTGCTTTAAGCTTCTTTGACAATGTACTCAAATTGGAGTTACTCATTGTGGGAGTTAGGTTAGACGAATGGTTTTGTACGGATTCTAATGTGTGGTCTTGTAAGTTTACTAAATCGGGATTGTGATTCAAGTTAGCTCTTTGCATAACGAACAAGTCTCTTCTTGAAAAGGAAGAGTAGACATAGGATTGTCATCCGAACTGCTATAATATCTTGCATATTCCTTGTTGATTGTTCTTGATATTTGATTATTGTTCTTTGAAAAATTAAAGAAGAAATGAGAATAAAATTTTGTATTAATCTCCCTAACTGACTTAGGAAAAGAATGAATACAATCTCTCTTTGCAATCTCTCTCTAACTGATTTAGAAAAAGAAATTATAACTCCTATATATCGGTTTCTCGATTTACAAAAGAGAGAAGGGATCAACAGAGACCCTGCCATTTATTTAAAACTAGGTTCTTCTTGGTGTCGATGGGAGCTTGATTCTTGTATCCCGTTGACGATCCGAATGCTTCACCTTGTGAAACTTGGTCTTCGCCTCTTGACTCGACGACTTGGACGAACTTGCAAAGCAAATTTTAGAACTCTGAACGAGCTTAGAAGAACTTGACGAGCAAGTTGAAAACTCTGCAAAAGAGTTGATTTGAAAAAGAGATTTCAATCCCTTTTAGCTGAAATAAACTTTCTAGACAAGTTAAACTGGAGCTGATCAAGATGCTTCGAAAATCCCACCTTCAAAGCCAAAATCAAGGCGATCCCAAAAGCCGATCCTCTAGGATGATCCCCAGATCTCTCCCCCCTCACTAAGATCCGAACCAAAGATCCCAAGCTAAGATCCGAACCTTCAGATCCGAAAATCATCAAAGGTCCCCCCTCCAAAGAGATCTTTGCTGCTGATCCCAATCTGCTAGAATATCCGATTTAAACTGATTTTTAGCTATTTATAGGGGATTAAGGGGTCTAACTAACCCCTAAAATCGCTCCTTAGTGGGGGTGTAATCCCCCTCAAATCACGGGAAATGGTTTTGGAACCGTTCAGCTCGTGTTTAAACGAGTCAAACACGAAATCCGCGTTCTAGAAATGAACTCTACGTCTTGAACTTCAGACGCGGAGTTGGGCTCTACGTTTGGGGTTAAAAATGCAATGGTGAATCCTGCGTTTGAGTCTGAAAATGCAATGGTGAACCCTACGTTTTGTTCTTGAAACGCGGCTGTGAGTTTCATATTTTATTCCTGGGACACAGAGATGAGCTCTGCGTCTTGACTCTAGAAGGCAGAGGTGAGCTTCTGCGTCTTGTGGTGAAGAGACCGTCAACTTGTAGTCTCTTTTATTAGAGCGTTGCAAAGATTGTCATCTCATAATCTTTGTCTTGGCTCTTTGAAATGTGAAAGTCGTCAGTTGTAACTCTTGTTGATGATTGTGAAGGTTGTCGAATCAGAATTTTCATCGGTTGTTGTGAAAGTCGTTGAATTGTAACATTCGTCGATTTTCATGAAAGTCTTCAAATTGTAGCCTTCTGGAAGTCGTCGAAGTGTAACCTCCATTATCAATGTTTGATGAGAATCAGCTATCTGTAGTAATTTTTAGACATCCTACAATTATATTGCTTTATTTCATTTATCGCTTTTATTTTATGTATTCCACTGCATATTCTGTGTTTTTGGCAAAAAAACGATAACAATCCTATTCAACTCCCCCTTCCCCGACTTGCATCTCATATCCAACATCTTTATTATCTAAAAGCTTAATGATTCATTCATATTTAATACCTTTTTATCTCCTATGCATGATATGCATTTATCTCTACATTTCTATCAAGAAAAAAAATATAATTGTCCATATTCCCATCGAGATAAAATTATAATTGTCCACTAAATAGTAGATAACTGTAATTAAAGTAATGACTTCTTTATGAAGAAATATATATGACTCAGCCATTGGGATTCCGAGCTGCAGGGAAAGATAAGTTGGTTTGCAGATTGAAGAAATCGCTATACGGTTTGAAACAGTCTCCTCGACAGTGGTATAGGCGATTCGATGGTTTTATGATTGGTCATTCGTACACTCGGAGCCAGTTTGATCCTTGCGTATATTTTCGCAAGTTGAAAGGAGGTGCGTACATTTATTTGTTGCTCTATGTCGATGACATGTTGGTTGCCTCTATTTCCAGGTCGGCTATAGATGAGTTGAAAGTTCAGCTTTCAAATGAGTTTGAGATGAAAGACTTGGGTGAGGCGAAGCGCATTCTAGGGATGGAGATCGGCAGAGACAAGAAGAAGGGCAGAATTTGTTTGACACAGGTGGCTTATTTGAAGAAGGTTCTACAGCGATTCCATGTTAGCATGGATACGAAGCCAGTTAGTGTACCATTGGGAGCCCATTTGAAGCTTTCAGCTGGTCTTTCACCGAAGTCAATTGAAGATAGAGAGTTGATATCGAAGACTCCATATGCGAGTGTGGTTGGGAGCTTGATGTACGCGATGGTATGTACGAGGCCGGATTTGTCACAGGCGGTGAGCATGGTGTCGAGATACATGCACGATCCAGGAGTGGGTCATTGGGACGCCGTGAAATGGATTTTGAGGTACATTCGAGGTACGCTCAATGTTGGTTTGGTTTATGAGCGGGACACTACAGGTGGGCAGCTATGCATTGGCTATGTTGATTCGGATTATGCCGGGGATTTGGATAAGCGCCGGTCTACTACGGGGTATGTGTTTACTTTGACCCGTGCACCGGTGTGTTGGAGAAGCACCTTACAGTCGACGGTGGCTTTGTCTACGACGGAGGCAGAGTATATGGCAGTTACGGAGGCTGTGAAGGAGGCTATTTGGCTTCGAGGACTTTTGGAGGAACTTGGTATATCGCAGAGGTCCGTCACTATTCATTGTGGGTCCGTCACTATTCATTGTGATAGTATGAGTGCTATCTATTTGGCGAAGAATCAGGTTTTTCATGCGCGGACGAAGCACATTGACGTTCGTTATCATTTCGTTCGAGATGTTCTTGAAGATGGTGATGTGGAAATTGTGAAAGTCCACACGAAGGATAATCCGGCGGATATGCTCACTAAGGTGGTTCCGAGCAACAAGTTT